TAGAATTACATATTTTGCTTCGAGTCTCTTCATCTGTGAGGAGGTTGTTCAACATTCAATGTCATATAGCAGGACCGATGTTACATAACAGTTTTGCACTGTTTCTAACGAAACTTTCCGGTTTCTTAATACTTTGGAAGACATTTTTCACTTTTACATTGGGTCTTCGGATTTCAGTGTTACATTTTCCATTCTCTGTCAAAACATTTCCTAGAGATTTAAATTTTCGTATTTGCTTGATTTTTAATCTAATTCGTTGTTCGCCTCTTGGGCTGTTCTTTTTGCTCAAATTACATTCTCTCTTCGTGCAATCTGTGTTTAATTCATTCTTCTTACTTTCTTTAACTACCTTTCCCATAGTTTTCTTTTTATGTCTACTCTCGGTATTGTGCCATCTGCATATATTATGTTGTTAATATTGTGGCCGTCAATAAGGAATCCTAGTAGGACATCTAATTTTCTCAGAATCATCTTACTCTATTTGTATTGTTCTTTCTGATATCACTCTCAGCATAAATATTCCTTGTTTCAGTGTCTTTAACAAGACTGCACAGCTCTTATGCTATTTTCTGTCTATTTTTTTCTACTTGCTCTGTTAATCGTAATTCAGATTCTTTCGTAGTGGAAGAGTTATCCAATGTATTCGTCCCATCCTTGAAGTATTTTTCTTTCTCTATTATCAACGTTCCCACCTTTCATTTTATACATCCTGTTGATGACTCCATATTTTGGGCATATTAGCCTTGTCTGGGATTCTCTTTTTTGTTGAGTCATGCCTCTTTTTCCTACCTTCATTTATTTCTAATTTCTTTGTGCAATATTGTCTAAACTTAAAACTGTACAGGGCTGTAAGAAAAGGTCACCTAGCAAACATTGAACTCACTGGTCTTTATGAGAATTGTTTACCAGCCATTGTTTGTTCTACTTGGGACCAGTAAATTGTAATATTTTATTTTTATTGAGCTAAATATTGGCAGACATTCTGAAATAGGATGAAATAGTGTTGAAAATACGACATGAAAAAAGCGAATTCTTTATAAAAGAAATATCATAATAAGCCAAAAAGTATTTTATGGCATCATAAAATTAAAACTGTGGTTGGAATGATCGTTTTTTGAACATGAGATCCGAGATCGAATCCCACCATAACCGATTCGTCAGAAGATTATTTCTTTGTGCAATCCAACTGGGGAGACAATAAGACCTACAAATTCAAAAATGCTTTTTGAATTTGTAGGTCTGATGAATTGGATCGTGACTACGATTCCAATGTAATAAATTATAACCATGGAATATTAGTGTCTGGGCCTTTATATTATATTCTTGCTCTGTCCTGGACATTGAGTTCTACCTGGATTCTATCCCCTTGGAAATTGATATATATATATATATATATATATATATATATATATATATATATATGGTTAAGTTACGAAAAACTTGGTAACCGTATGGGTAGCCCGAAGGAGGATGAAATCCTGAGAGCAAATTCAGAGCTAATAATTTAAAGAAAAACAGACCACTTTAAGGCTCCATTGTAATAGTCTATTTCACCAGAGACCTTTTAAAGTACCCTGGATCCTCAGACATCACTTTCAAAGGGTGAAACGAAAATGAATGAAATGAATATATATATATATATATATATATATATATATATATATATATATATATATATATATATATATATATATATATATATATATATATATATATATATATATATATATATATATATTATTTGGATTGATGTGAGAAACCCAGGTGACAAACTCACATCAATCCAACCAAATATGTTAGCTCTATCTCTATTGAGCACTTTCTAATAAGTTCCATGCATATATATATATATATATTTTTATACACACACTTTTCACACACACACACACACACACACACACACACACATATATATATATATATAAAAAATACACAAAGGCATTTTATTTATTTTCCTTAAGGAATCCTTTTCAGCCAACACTTCGTCAGAAGGAAAACGTTGACAAAATTTTTTATTTTAATCGTTGTTCCAAAATTTCGCACAACCTCCATTATTTTATATATATATATATATATATTTATATATATATATATATATATATATATATATATATATATATATGTATGTACCATAAAAGAAATGTGATATGAAGTTTTACAAATGAAAAAAAAACTTTCTTGAAGATTAAATTATTGTTTTAATTTGAATCTGATAAATTAACATTTATATATCCAATAAGCAAAACACTTTCAAAACAAATTTAAATTGATTGTAATGAGTTATTTTTTGAATCTCTAAAATGGCTGATTTTTGCCATATTTACAATTCTCTCAGCACATTTATTTATTAAAAACATATTTAAAAATAAAATATATTTTTCTGAAACTTTATTTGAGGAAGAATAGCTGACTTAAATTTTAATTAATCTGATTTGAAACAAATATTACTTAATTTTAAAAAAAGAATTTTTGAACACGGCAGAGGCGGGTATTTTATGAGGTGTCGACAGCTATCTCGATAGACTTATGTTTGGAATTTTTCTACGGTAGACATATCTGTAAAAAATTCTTGACGAATATAACGTGAGTGCCTTTTTTATATAATTTTTTAACTACCCAGTAATCTTTTAAATTTAGGAAAATACTCTACGTAATTTAATGTTTAATGAATTTTAGGTACTTTAAAATGTACTATAGTTACATCTCTTTTTTTCTGATAATGTCGTATATGAATGTTTGTATGTAGAAAAATGGGAACATTCATAAACACACACTAACACAAATTTAACTTTTTTTTTTTAAATACTGGGGTCGCTGAATTGTCGTAAGCTTTTCCATTTATGATTATTTAATACAGTTTTTATTTAATATCAACTTCAATTTACTTAATCAACTTATCGGTACAAATTAATACAGTAAAACTTTATAAATTACGTAAATTAAAGTTTAAAAAATGAAAACAATTCTTGTAAAAATTTATAATCCTTCGGAAAAAATTTTCTCATTACAATAGTGTTCATAATATATCTTATTCTTAAAAGCAATTTAAAACTTTTTCTAATTGAAAAATGTCTTAGTTTTATTGCCTTTTGATTTTACGATTCAGAGAATCCTAAGGGTCCTGTTTTACTAGAATAAATAAATTGACAATTTAAACTTTTCAAGGACTTCTGCTTATAACTAATAGAAACATTTAAACCGTACAAAAACGAATTTCTCGAAATTTAATAAAATTAAATAATTGGAGGGTAACAGATATATAAAAAATGCTTCTACCAAGATTTTATAAAAAAGAAATATTTCAAAAATCATTTTATAGATTTGCAAATAAGTCCTGAAAGTTTCATTGAAATCTGTCAGTTATTTAGTTTTTGCAGGAATTTTCTAAATCAATGTGTTTTTCAAAAAGACGCTAAAATTTCCTCTACTAATTTACGTTCATCCGTCGAGGCAAGAAAATAAGACATCGAATCTCTTCGTAACCTCTTTTGCCGTAAGGTAGAATTTTCTTTGCTTTTCTAATTCATTAAAAATTGTATAAAACTTGGCGAAATCTTCTTTAAAAAGCCGAACATTTTGTTTGAATGAAAACTGTTGTTATTTTTTTAGAATTAAATATCTTTATTTTCATTTAAGATTCATTGTCACATCTTTAGCGATGTCATAAAAAAAAAACGTAATTCCTGGTAGACAAAGATGGCTCCTTAAGTATTAAATATTTTCTCCTGTTTTTATCCCTGTAGTGTAACCTGTATTTGTGATATTCTTACTTTTTACTATGGATGAAAAACGTTCGTGTAAAAAAAAAAAAAAAAGAAACTTTCGTCGCCGATAGGATTCGAACCTATGCGGGGAGACCCCAATGGATTTCTAGTCCATCGCCTTAACCACTCGGCCACGACGACATCGATGACTTAAAACTTAATATATAATTTTAAATTTAAGTTAATACGTTTTAAATGATTAATATTTTATCAAGTGTAAATTAGTAATCAACATATTAACAATTACATAATACATCAGAGAGGAGTATGAGTTTTTTTTTTAATATATGTATTGAAAATAAATAAAATGAACAAACGTCGCCGATAGGATTCGGACCTATGCGGGGAGACCCCAATGGATTTCTAGTCCATCGCCTTAACCACTCGGCCACGACGACTACGGCTCAAGGACTGACATTTCGATTCGAAAACAAATATACGCTGTCCAGGTTCATGCAGCAACTTATTCAGTCTCGTAAAAACTAAAATGAATGAGGTGCCGATTAACAATCAATATTCAATACATTCAAATCAAATAATACAAAAATGTTAGGAGTTATTTATAATCATTTTTTTGAGGGACGATTTTTGGTGAAAAGATACTGGCGTTATTTCTGTTTTCTCAAATTTTCCAAGAAAATGAGAAGACATCAGATTTTCATTGGTTTCCAGACCCGACCGGTTTGTGGCCTAGACTGAATTTCAGGATTCTGGTGTTCGAGCCCAGTTAGATGGTTTCTAAATGCAAATTTTCTCTCCCCGTATGAAAGATTATCGTAACGTAACGCAATATTCGCAGATCCTCACCAATTTCCTTTGACCTTGACGTAAATAATAAATAAATATCGACTCTTCACCACCACCACCACCACAAATAGTTCTGGGCTTAATTCTCATGATACACTTACACAGGAACGCATAAATATTATTCGTTATGGAATCAAATTTTCTTTACCTGTTTTACATTTATAAACTTTTTTTTCTCAGAAAAACAAAATCCTGTTTCTCAATTTTATTCATTAGTTAACATTACTCAATTTTTACGCATAAAATATTTGTTCATTATGTTGAAGTTGAAACTGTTTAGTCATTCACATGATTTGATAGTAGTTTTGCTAGCGGCTTATTTTGAAAAGGGGTCATAATAATAAACCCAATACTGAATTCAGAGTCTCTCTTCTCTGGCCCGCTATAATTAGTAACTGCGATAACAACAACTCATCGACGGAGAAGAATATGATAAAGAGATTAGTAACCCTCTTTAAGCAACGGGCTATCGGTAAGGTTCTATGGTGTAATGGTTAGCACTCTGGACTCTGAATCCAGCGATCCGAGTTCAAATCTCGGTAGAACCTAATCAATGATATTTTTTAATTTATATAATTGTCTATGTTTTCTTCAGCCTAAACCAAAAACACTAAAACATTCTGGTAAGATGCTTGTGGCGTTTAAATGTCTACGGCTTTTAATTACGTTTTCTTTCTTAACTGCTTTGAGTGGATAAACTCATATTTGAATAAAAACTCTCTATTTTTGTTTACCAGCCTGAATATTCGAGAAATCTTATTAAATTAAAATATGCGCTATATCCGGTCGGAATCAAATATGCCCCCCACCTCCTGTGCAGATTCGCCGTGCCTTAATCAACTCGGCCACAAAGAAACTTTGTCGATTAATAAATAAAAATCTCGGATTAATAAATAAAAAATCCACCTCTTCTCGGATTAATAAATAAAAACTCCATCACTTCTTTAGAAAATTAACTGCTTATTTAATCCGTACTATAACGAATTCAAAATTACTTAGAATCAGAAAGAGACAATTGGAATTTCTTGGCACATAATAAGGAAAAAAGGCATGGAAAATTTAACACTCACAAGACATGTTGAAGACAAGAGGGACAGAGGAAAGCAGCAGATAACCTACTTAATGAGCTTGTGTGCATGTTTGGCAGATACAGAAATTAGGAGAGATAGGCGAAAAGATAAACACTTTTAAGAGCTAAAAAAAAGGACAGTAAGCTGTGGAGAGCCATGATCGCCCACCTCCTGAAGGGACACGGTACAAATTAAAGATAATTTTTCGTTAAAGTGACCTCAGCTATTTTCCTTAAGCCAAACGTCCGCTTTAGAAATGTGGGAAAAGTAGATTTTTTCTTTTGGAGAAAATATTTTTCATTATTAAGAAATTGAAGTCTTGGTAAACGTACCCATTTTTCAAAGTATGGGCAACCATACACGACATTATCAGAAAATAAGAGCGACTTCTAAATTAAATTTAAAGATTACTGAATACTTTAAAATTCACATTATTTTCCTCACTTCGTTACTTTGTTCTCTTTCTGTAAAATAAAACCTTAATTGACGTTCTTCCGACTTCTGCCTATCCGTCCTTATTTTTCATATTTGGGTAAAAATATTTGTACCTACGGCAAGTACTACTAAAGCCGCCTACACATATTTGGCAAACCTAACAATGCCAACTAAATTTGAACCTGGCTTATACGTAGGGATGGTTTTGTTTATATTATTATTATTTTTATTTATTTATTTATCGTTTCCCACTGACTTTACAGATACTCTACCCGTTTTGGCTTTAGTGATTTTCTGAATAATTAAACTAAATGTTTCTGGTGGGTTAGAAAAACTGATGATTAAACAATAATCGACGACTTTTGACATTTGTTATCTAGGTTTTAGCAAGTTACGTCACTCAGTCTGCATGTTAATCAAGAAATTAGATTGATTTGTTTAGGGACTACCCAATCTTTATCAGATTCTTTAAAGCTAGGAAATATTTTTAGATTGTAAGAATTCTTTTAAATAATGATATAAGTCCGAATTAAACCATACATGGGGGGAAGAGGGGTATTCATACCTTTTCTAAGAGCATTTACACGTAAGTATATATCGAACTTGACTGGAATCGGAACTCGGTTTTACTTTTCTCATTGCCAATTCCGAGCTGTTATCCTTTACACAACCCACACATTCAAGCTTACAACACCTGGTATTTCCGAGCGGTCACCCATCTAGGTATTAGCCAGGAACGACATTACTTAACTTCGGTGATCGTACGAGAAGCGGTGTTTCAACGGGATATTGATGCATAGCGTTCTTTTGTATATGCGCTTGTGTACATATCTATGTGTAGGCGCTTATTTTCAGGAATTTAAATTCACCAGGTTTAACTGAGGTTAAGTGGTTATCTCCCCCTGAATCTAATGACCCAAGTTCACGTCCCGACAGAACTTAAATATAGTCATTTTATGATATACGAGTTGGATAGTCTTTAACGGCGCAGAAAATGTAATCAGCCAACAAATCAGTAAATCTGCTACTTTCACTGACATACAAATGCCGTTGGAAAAGACACGTGGCTATTTCTTTTCCCTCCAGCTATGGGTTAAATGTCAGAATAGACTGAACTCTCTAGCTTTGGGCTTTAGCGAGTATAGGAGAAAGACACCTCTTTTTAATGGATTTTTTTAATAATTCCTATTTTTTATTGCGAAAAAAGACATTTTAAATATGTGTGTGTCTGTGTGTCTGTGTGTTTGTGATTTTATAGTAATAATATATATTTTAGTAATAATATATATTATAGTGATATATATATATATATATATATATATATATATATATATATATATATATATATATATATATATTTATAGTAAGACATGCTTAAAACTCAGTAAATTTCAAAATAGGTTATTCAAAAATTCACATGAAAATGAAACAGAACTAGGGCTTTAATTTAATTATAGAATTGAATTTGCCGTTTTAATTTCTATTTTTGAATCACGGCAATTCCTGTGTAGCGATGGAACCATATTTTTAAATCAGTTAATTTATAATATTTATGCTCTGTAAATTTGCATTGAGCACTGTTGTGTAAAAAATAAAAATATTAATAAGAACACCGGATTTTTTTTATCTTTCTGTTCTTTCTTTTGTTATAATATATATATATATATATATATATATATATATATATATATATATATATATATATATATATATATATATAATATTTAGTAACAATTATAACAAAAAACATGTTATAAACGGCTACATAAATGCAATCATGTTTAGATATTGTGTGTGCCTCCTCATTATGCTCTACTCTATATTGAGCAATTTTTTAAAATATAATGTCTGGACACTAGTACTAACCTACTTCACACACATATATATATATATATATATATATATATATATATATATATATATATAAATAATTAGAAAGAGACAACCTTAAGGTTGTCTCTTTCTTAATTATTTAATTAATATTTGCTCTGGTGTTCCATTGAGCTCTCTGGATCACATCTTCTTTGGAATTATCCACACGGATTACTAAACCGTTCATTACTTTATTATATATATATATATATATATATATATATATATATATATATATATATATATATATATATATATATATATATATAATAGGAAGGGTAATAAAATTTGAGGAATAAAAGAACAAAATAGTAACAATATTATTAGCAATAAAATTGAATTTATTATATATTAAACTTTTGACTAAATTGAAGCACAAATATCTTATATGAAACAAATGTGGACCATCTTTCGTTTTATCATGGATTACACGTGTTTCAGTTTCTATTCATGTTTTTTGTTGATTTTTTTTTGTTTGTGTTTTTTCTTAAAGAGTAAAATTAATACCAACCGACCTAAATCTAATCTGAACTTACACTAGTTCGGTTGATTAATTTCACTGTTTAAGAAAAATCCCCCAAAAGAAAAAACTGGGATAGAAACTCAAACACGGGTACCCACGAGATAACGTTTTTGTAGTAAAACGTCTACACACACACACACACACACACACACACACACACACACACACACACACACACACACACACACACACACACACACACATATATATATATAAATAGATTTACATTTGTAAATCTATTTAAAATCGGTGGGTGAAAAACCCTGGATATCACAATTTTCAAAGAAATTCGCATTCGAAGAAAAATTAGAAAAAAAAAAACCAAAAAAAAACAGAAACCTCCGAAAAAGGCGAAAGAAATCGTTCAGGACCTTAAATTTTTGGTACAAAAGAAGAAAAAAAGCGAGTAATAAGTTAAAACGAAAAGTGCTCAATACACTAAGTAGAGCAAAAGTAAAATAAATAAATCCTAGTCAGATACTACCTACCTAGGTTTCACCACAGATGGGATCATCAGAGTGAACTGATGATCCCATTATATATATATATATATATATATATATATATATATATATATATATATATATAATAAAATTTGGGTAGCAATCTTTCTTTCAAACATGTTTCGTTGAGTGACAGATAAAGAAGATTTGGCGAATTATTATAATTATTATTTTTTTGTATTTTTTAAATTCAAATTGTCCAACACGTGTACCGACTAAAAATAATGTTTATATTGTAATAAAAAAAGAGAACTCTTCATTCAAGAAGGCAACCGAGGAACACTTCACTTTCTTTCCTAAAAAGACATTGTAAATCGCAGATAATAAAGGAAGCGATCTATGGAAAGTCCTAAAATACTTGTGTTCTGAACGTATAAGGCATTTTAAAGAGAGAGAATCCAACGTGGTACACTCTTTCTGATAACCTCTATTTTCACAATTTCTTTAATTAACATATGTTGTACGACTAAGCTAAGTGCGGTAGTCTATGGAGTGCGGGTTTGTAAAAAAGCGGGTGCCGCTCCTGAATTGGGCAACAAAAAACAAGACTTACTAAGCTACGTAGACCCACCCCGAATACTACAGACGGTCTTTCTTTCTTTCTTTCTTTCTTTCTTTCTTTCTTTCTTTCTTTCTTTCTTTCTGCCACATTTCTGTAGTTTTCTTTCTTTCCTTCTCTATCCACCAGACATTTCTTTTACTCTACTCAGCTTGTACTCTCACATTTTTGCGTACTATGAAAAATATTTCTGGGTTAGCGACACCAGATCGCCTGTCCATCTTCATCAATTCCGCTACGTGCGCGCACGAAGACATCTCTCCCCACCCTCAACATCCACTTAACTTGTCTGTCAATTTCTCTCACTTATGAGCGGGAAGAAGCTTTTTGTTTTTTTCTTTTAGCAAACATTCAGACATTTTTTTTATTCACTCCTTCCAGCGTTTCTACTTATTTACCTACTACTGCTTTTTTTTTGTTTTCTTTCTCTCTCCTCCACCTCCTCCTCCTCCTCCTTCTTCTTCTTCTTCTTCTTCTTCTTCTTCTTCTTCTTCTTCTTCTTCTTCTTCTTCTTCAATTGATTTAAAATCTCCAGCCGGTGAGAATATTTTAAAAAGAACAACGTTAAAGGAAAAAAAATAAAATAAAGGCAACTATATACTATAATAGTCATTATTTTACTACTATTCTTCTTTAAGAGCCATATACATTCAAGAAGTAGGTGATCATTATTCTCCACAGCTTCCTTTTAAAACTGCAAACTATACATTTCCTTGACTGTTCTTGAGAAAATTACTACAGTTTTGAATTTAGAGAATAGACTGGTTACCAGTCAAGGTTAGAGATCATAGTCTAGCTGGATGGGGAAGGAGGATTCATGCCTTTCCTAAAAGCTTCTTTTTCTATGTGCCGTGCCCCTTCAGAACGTGGTTGGTCATGGCTCTCTAAACTTCCTATCCCTTGTAGCCATTATTAACGTTTGTTTCGGTTATAATAATTCCTTTCCAGAATAAAAAGGATTAGGGTTTTGTACAACGTGTATTTGTTTAATATATAGTCTATCTTACAGAGATGTCGGAAAATCGGTGAAATCCGGATTTCGGTTGTTGATCGTCAGGATGGCGATTAGACGTAAGGGTAACGCCGGGAATTGATCGATTTCTTGTGTTCGTTTGACAGGATATGGTCGCTCGCACGTGTTGGTGGATCGAGGTCACGGTGGTGGGTCGATTTGTGGTAGAGTACGTTGGTTGTCTAGGTGACGAGGGATTGGCGTAGCTGTTACACCTGTTCCATGAAACGGTGGTAGCCCGAGAGGGTTGCATACTTGCGGAATCGGTATCGCTTGTTTGCGGATTCGGAGTCGCTTGTTTGCGGAGTCGGAGTCGCAATGTCCCCTGGACTTGCCGGGGAATACAATCTCCTCCACCACTGCCGCTTCAAGTTTAGTCTTTCAATGTCCGTTTCAGACACAACCTCAAGTCACAGTTTCTTCCACGCTGATGTCAAGGTCCTCTTTGTAACACACTGCCAGGTTATATCGATAATTCTGTGGCATGACACGATGTTATAGTGGTCCTTTCAGAACTCTCGATGGGTGAGGTTTGTGCTTTCAGTCACCTCAAAGCAGCGGCGGAACAGGTACTTGGTGAAGAGCTTCTTGAAATTAGAAATCACCTACTGGTCCCTGGGCTGCAGGATAGGGGTGGTGTTGGTTGGAAAGTAGAGAACCTTTATAAATTTGAACTCTTCGAGGTTAGGTGAGTGAGCAGGGGCATTATGAAGGACGAGAAGGGCTTGCAAAAGTAGGTTATTTTCCTGGAGATATTTCTTAACGTCAGGACCAAAGACCAAATTCTCCCATTCCAAAAAGAAGTACCTGGTAACCCACACCCTCGGGTTTGCCCTTCACATAACCTGCAGTTTTTTTTGTTTTATCAGAATCTTATGTGACTTAAAGTCTCTGGGGTTTTCCGAATGATAAACGAGCAGCAGCTTTATCTTGCAGTCGTCGCTCGCATCGGCGCACACTGAAAGGGTTAGCCTATCCTTCATGGGTTTCTTCCTGGCATCCTCTCCTCTGCCGTTATATAAGTCCTCTTTGGCATCTTCCAAAAAAGTCCTGTCTCGTCATTGAAAACTTTCTGGGAGATTTGTCCTTCGGTTGCTATAATTCCGGCAAAAGTTTTGAGGTGACCATCAGCTGCCTTCATGCCCGCGCTCGCTGTCACACCATGCCTTAGAACGGTCCCCTTTTTAAAATTAACGAACCAGCCCCGACTGACTTTAAACGGCTCGCCCGAAATCTCGTCCGTTGAAGTGCCTGGGGGTCTGCTGCAGTAAATCAGCGTTAATAGCTCGTGCCTTCTCGCAGATTATAGCCTCCGCCATGGCATCTCCTGAGAACTGTTTTTCCGTCAACTACACCATCAGCAGCTTCTCTATATTTTCATGGATAGATGTCCGCTGTTTAGAAATTGTTTGAACGCCCTTGGCTGGCGTTATAGCCTTTATCGACACCTTCTGCTTCAGTATGGTGCCGATCATAGAAGTGCCACGCTCGTACTGCTTCGCCAAGTCCGCTACACGCACACCTTGATCATGTTTTTCGATAATTTATTTCTTTTATTCAATGCATATCAACCACTTCTTCTTCTTCTTCTTCTTCTTCTTCTTCTTCTTCTTCTTCTTCTTCTTCTTCTCAGCACTGTCCTTAACAGTCACTTTCTTGGGACATATTGTTGGAAAAACGAAGTCTTTCAAAAATAACTGCAAGCACAAATGCGAGTACAGCACCGATGCTTCCACTGCGAGCTAACCGTTTAAAGTGAACGAGTGAGATATGGGATGCTGGGTGGATGTTGCAGCGTTCTCTGTGGCGTTCGATGCGCCAACTAATAAGTGGGATATCTGAAGCTGACACGTAACCCAAATTTTAGCTCTCAACTCAAAGAAAAAAACCGGTCGAAAGACGGCTCGTATCTAGAAAAACTTGTTTATTTGGGACACTCGTAAGCCAATATATTACTGCATTTAATAAACAGTAAACACAAAAGGCTGGAATATGTGCGAAATCTTGCCTGCCTGTTTACCCCACCACCATCTCTCTCTCACTTTCAGAATTTCTATCACTCAAAAAGACTAAAGTGATTTAATTCAGCTTCGTGGGTTTGCAGACCCTATGGTTGAGGGCCTGTCCACAGTCTTTGGCACCCTAGTTGATACACTTCAACCCCCTAGTCATTTTCACCGTAGGCAGTTAGCAACCCTGAAGATAGTTAAAAGAGAGAAGTCTGCCTGTATCCTCACGAACGTGCGTGTTTTTTTTTTCTTTCTTTTCTGTCAATAGTCGTAAAAAAATGTTTGTCAAGATATCTGCTCATAGACCGTGATGAAAAGTTGATTTGTAGCTTTCCCAAGGCTATTAGTGCGAAGCATACATAACACAGCTTGCCTGAAATTCGAACTCGCGTCATCACTTCTCATTTTCCGCGCTAGTAACCATTACATCATTTCGCACTTCCGGCTACCACTGCACACGCAATCCTCAACAAAATTAAAGGTTTAAGTACCACCGACGATGGGCATATCGATTAACATTTCATTGAAGGATAGAAATAGTATACTGCAGTGATTTGTATAAATGACAAAGATTTTTAAATTATATGTTATGCAACTGGTAAATGGCTGTTGGCACGAGACAAAAGAAGCATATAAGGTACAACAGAGAAATGCAATTTTACAATTTCCACGTCACTCGTTAAAGGTATCTATCTACATAAATTTCTGTCTCCATCCATTCACCTCTTCTTTTCACTAGCTTTTTTTTTTTCGTTTTCTCTTTCTTTCTTATCCCTAACTTTCCCTCCGTTCCTTCTCTTTTATTTTTTCAGACTCTGTCGACGCGTGTAAATGAATGGATAGGCAGTTGATCACACACACGCACAGAGAGAGAGAGAGAGAGAGAGAGAGAGAGAGAGAGAGAGAGAGAGAGAGAGAGAGAGAGAGAGAGAGAGAGATTTCGTCTACGAAACTCTAGAGTCGGGAAACTGATGGTAAGATCGGTCAGCTAAGTGACAAATTCTATATTGGTATTAATCCTGTAAACGTATGAATATAAGCATATGCATACAAAATCAAACAATATTAAATAAAAATGTAATTATAACGATAACCTCCTACAATTAATATCCTAATAGAACTTAAGTTACCACCACATCAGACAAGAAAACGTAATAATGGCCAAGTGAAGACATATATAAACATTTACTTCATTATTTAAGCATTAAATTTATTTATGTAAAAAAAAAAAAAACAAATACAATTCCTAACTCAAGAAAACATTAGAACACTCGACAGCATATATCTAGAAAACATAAATCAAAATGGCAACAATTGAAAGACAAGAGGAAAAAGAGAGAAAAGGTTAAGGAGTAAAGTAAAAAAAAAATCGATGAAAAGGACAAATATTCGCATTCTACATGGACACACATACGCGCAGACGGGTACACGAACACATGTAGTATGGGTAAAAAAAAAGAAACTTGCACTAATAAAAGCTGCATATAAAAAAGAAAAATCGAGAAGTATAAGCAGTCAATTGCTGATATCCTCTGACGAATGGACGGAGTGATTCTTGGAGGCTCTGTCCACGCAACTTTGGAGTCGTGATGCTGAAGGTAACATCAATCAGCTAAGTCATTTTACATTCACTTGTATCAATTCTCTTTATATTGATAAAAAACGATGCACGCACAAGATACTTAGAACATCGGATCGCATTTTTCCAACGGGCGCATGCGATTTTCAACAGCTGGAATGAAACTCCACAAAAAATACATTGTAACAAAGCCAGAAATTGACCCAACTACACCAAACTATCAAACGAATGACCGCCAATCAAAACAACAAACTGAGACAAAAAATTAACAACCTATACAGCAAGACCAAGTGGAAATATGTTGGAAAGCCTAATCTAATAGAAAATCTGTTTTCTAATATAAAACGAGAGAAATCAAGAAAGACACGCCACTCCTTCTGACAAGAATGGGTTGCATTGTAATCATAAATAAGATTACATGCATAGAAAAAATTTAACTCTCTCTCTCTCTCTCTCTCTCTATATATATATATATATATATATATATATATATATATATATATTTTTTTTTTCATATAGACAAAAACAATTTATTCACGACAAAGATGAAACTTCATTTCGGTGCATTTAGTTGTACATCGACTGGTAAGAACCAAAATGGTTATGAACAACTCACCAGCCGAGATGCAACTAAATGCAATTGCCACTTTGCTATTCGACGTCTTAGCGTCTGTTGGTAAAGTAAATGATAACAATCCTCTCACCTATATTGAGACAAAGCCAAAATTTTATAATTGCCACATCGCTTCTCTTCGCCTTTATCAAAGAAAGAAAAAAAAAAGTAAACGATATCTTAACATTGATTCTCCCTGCCTGTATCGGCATACGTCTCCAGCCGAAATTTTTATGACCAGCACGTGTTTTAGCCGATAATTCCATATTTGCCTTTCTTTCTATCTCCCTCGGCGAGACATAAATTTACTCGACAGGACAAGACCTCACACGTGGCTTCTTCTCGGGTTCACAGTCTTTTGTGAAAAGTATCTTTTTTTTTTTTTTGTAAATAGAATTAAAATCTTCTTTTTTTTTTTCATCGATCATTCTGTCTTTCGAGATGGCTCTTTTTCGCTTTAACAGGGTCTATTTTCTGTTTAAATTTCTATGATTAATTAGTTAGCCAATTACCATAGCTAAATAGTGTCACATACCTAAACAGTAAAAAACAAAAACAAAAGACAATGCTCTATGTCTAAATGAGCAAGAGATGCCAATTATATATATAGATATCTTTTGTCTTTATTCATATTGTCCTTTTACAGATACTCTATTTGAAATTTACACAACGATGACCGAATCCACTACAATATTAATTATCTCCAAGATTTGTTTCATAGCAACGCGATCTATTTTGGAATACCACAATGATTATTGTCATCAACTGCTTTTTTTTTCTTTTTTTTTTTTTTTCCAGAAAATGCTATGAGGCACAGTGGAGTAATAGATAGCGGCTCGGATTGAGGAATGGGAGAGCCGCGTTCGAATCTATTACATTCACTTACGTGCTAATATCCTTTTCTCCCCACTCCCAGCTCGCAGGACAGACCGGATTGCCTTGGATGACAACTGGTCCACCGCAGAAAACACTGCGGAAAAAAATGCCTTGTCAGTCACGTATCGAAAGATACATGATCGCCTAATTGTGTATCGCGCATGGTACATAACTGACTGATTCGCTACAATGTGTGGAACCATAATTAATCAAAAAAAAAAAAAAAAGAATGGATTTTGATATAGAATTCGGGTAGAAATTACTGAACAAAGAATAAAAACTTGATTTTTCACTTTTCTAAATGTCGCTTGGTTTCATGTTGCAACATGTCTTTATATAAAAAAAAATTTAAAAGACATCATCAAATTTGTTTTGAAATAGCTTGCGCTGCGTGACACGATTGTGTCACATTGAGCATGTCTTTTGTTAGTGCCATGATCCAGGCTGTTATCATTAGAAGCAGATCTACGACTGGTGAAGCGAGGATGATTTGTAAAAATCGTAAGTAGCAATGGAACCAGAACACAACACCAAGGATTCACCACAACGTATCTTACTTGATGATGTAGTTTTCAATTCATAGAACCTTAATTAGATTAATAAAATAAAGAGTAATTAAAACGTGTTAAGAAATTGAGGAAGAATTTGGTGTCGCTTAAGTGCGCAATGAATTTATTGGTTATTGTTTTCGCTGTTGTTATAACTGATGTCATAGTGTTTGGGGGGTAGGCATAATTTTGTTCTTTTTTTATTATTATTCTTGAAGCGAAGGAAGTTTTTCTTTTTCTTTGAAAGTTATTAAGAATATTACATTTAGCGACTTTTAATATTATTACTCGTATGTTTAATGCATATCATAAATTGTAGATATTTCCAAAAGTTATCAACCTAATCAACCCAAGTAAGTATTATTTGATAATGTTTTTGATAATATTTTATAAAAGTCGAAAGCGCTCCTGAATACATTCGAAAATTTATGCTGAAATTCTCGCGGGAAACCAGAAAAATAATCCGAAAAGAAATTGGTCTTCAATTAAACCTGAGCACGCACATACACATGCACATACGCGCGCACGGACAGGCGCACGCACGGA